TTCAGGTTTACAAAGAACGAAATCATAATACGAACCTTGTACTACTAAAGCTGCTCCTTTCGTGGTTGCTGCAAAGTTCCCTTGTTGCCTTCAACTGAATCTGTGCTGTCATACTCATTGTAGCATCAACTTAATTTTGCTGACAGCGGAAGGAAAACCAACAGAACCTTCGCTGATGAAACCATGATTGGTATGCCTTTTCATGGCGTGCTCGGAGTGGTCATTTTTGAGAACCATAGGCTGAAATGCACTTCAGGGACTCCATTGCAGTAAAGCGCCCGCTGAGGATAATGGCTTTCATAAATGGTGTGAACTGTGTCCAGTGGCGGTTGCAAACGTTCCTAGCCAATGGGAATAAAAATGTCCTGCTAAAACTTGACTAACAGGTAATAAAATGCCAGAATTCGGTCAAAATGAGAAGAGAATGACACTCAGAGACAAAAGTAAATGCCAGTCACACATACATAAATATGAATCAAAACTAGATTCAAGAAGGTTGATTCGCTTTCAAAGGACCATATAAATATCACTTAGGAAACGAAAGCTGCCCCTTAATAGTGACCGGACAGATTCAAGATGAGAATCTTTCTAGTCAGCTGTCATTTTTAAATATTTAAATCCATTCATTTGACTGTTGAATCATTCAGTTATGTTCGAATCCCGCAGCAAAAAATATTGAAGCAAAAGCCCTACGAGAAATGTATGTTAGAAATATGGGAACAAAAAATTGCCTTCAGAAAATGAAAGAAGGAACATCCCGATAAACATATAGGCCATTAACGAATGACTCCTTCAAAATTAGATTTCTCGGCGTATTGCGCTATATTATTGCTGCGGTTTAATTAGGTGGAGGCGACGGGGCATTTAATCAGGTCACGGTTACACGCTAGTTAAACTCTTGCAATGCATATGCATATTGCATCATTTCGTCCGCTTAAGCCAGAGTGTAATCCGTTTTCAAATCTGACATTACAGGAGTTATTCTTTATTTGAACTGTTCGGAATATGGCCAAATTATGATATTTATACGGTAGCTTATCAGCAATACTAATCCTGAATCATCGTTCTGAATGAATGCGATGCGACTTTAACGAACAAAATGATTAGAGATGCATCTATATTTGAAGGCTTTCAAATATTGTAGCCATGATCTTCTAAGCAACTGCGAGCAAGAAGAGATGAAGTCTGCTGTGAAATGTGGTTTTGTATAAGCCATTCGTTATTCGACATTCTCATGAACAATTATGATTTTTATGCTAGAATATAAAAGTCACTGGAGGTGAATGGCGGGACAGGAAGTGAAACAATGCAAAGAACACCAGAAGAAGACAAAACAGAGAACGCATCTTCCTTTGGTTGAACTAATAAAGAATAAGACTTAAAAGAAAGAAGGCAACTAGTACGTCACTCGGTGTGAAATGAATAAAAAATGGAAGAAATTCAGAGTAGAAAAACACTTAACAGACAGCAAAGAAGGCGACATTCATAGAAAAAACTGACTCGACGGAAACCGACTTGCTCTTTTCTTAAGAAGGTTATTCACTGGACTGCATTCCTACCTAAGACTGACTGAAATTAGAAGTCTTGTTTGTGCATCACTTGCTAAAATTAGTGATAAACTTCTTACTTGATTCACGTTAGCGCGAAAATTATAGTATAACATTCAGGTTCAATTTTCGTTCTGCATCGGCTTCATGTTCGATAGAATTTTTGTGTAACTTGAAAGTTGCTTACCGTATTCAGGTTTCTCATTTTCTGCTTTAAGTTGTTCATCACTGTCAGCAGTAAGATATTTCGCGTAATGATGCATTAATTTTTCGATTTAAGGATTTGCATTCCACTGACAAGTGGGTATCTTGAAGTTTCGAGTCGACCCATCGTGCGTAACCTGATTGATACATGAAACTTCCATTTGAACCATGGCAAGCAGCACACGGTCTGTTACAAAAACGGCGAAGGGTAATTAAGTCTTGAAAGGATAAAATGCTGTTAAATAGTCATTCACGATTTTTAAAAATTTTAAAGTTTATTTGAAGATAATCCTTCCGGATATAAACTGCACCTGAGTGTTGTCTCAAATAAGCTTAATGGTGCCACGAATGGGTATGATTACAGCTGATAAACTCTGAAATTTAATTATATAACAACGTTATGGTATTGTTCAGCGGACATTGTCATCTCTCGTAGACACTAATGCTAGCGATATGACCTGCCGACTCCTCCAGCGTCCATCCGTTGGTATGGAGT